TGTGGAGGAGATGAGCAGCTCAACAGCGCCGAGTTCGAGGTTTTTAAAGGGCTCGGCGTTGATCTGGCTGTTTGCACGTGTCGCCACCACGTAGGCATCCATGTAGGTTATGGAGCCGCGACTGATGATGCCGGACGCTGGGTACACAAGGAGTGTACGCTGTTGCTTGGCGTCCGAGTATTTGTCGTTCACGGAGGAGTCAGTGTATGGGTCTACCGTGAAGAGGCGGACAGTGGATGGGACAATTCTGGCCATGGGGAGGTAGGGGGGATCGATAAGTTTCCATTGGGTGGTGGGGACCATGCTGTAAATGACTTTAGCAGTGCTGCCGAGGTTGTCGAGGAGGTCCGCGTATGTGCGGTCGTTATCCAAGCGGATGACATTGTAGAAAGACAACTGCGAGGTGGTGTAAGGGGATGGAAGGAAGACAGATGAGTGCAATAGAATGAGATGGCGTCGACGTGTGTGATGGGAGGTGTTACGGTTTTTGTAAGGGGGAAGTGGATGTGCAGGTGGAAATATCTAGGCTGGATATCTTCCAATTAGTTTTGGTGCACATGGTATGTGCCGCCTCAATGAACGTGCGCACTGGATACAGGTATGCAACCGTGTGAGTGGCGAGCCCTCTGAAGCTCCACGAAATGAACTCGATGTAGCTGCCGTCCGTCCCATGGACTTACCGCCCGTCCAAAGTAGTTGTCGAAGCGGTTGAGGATGTCCTTGAGGCGCTCATCATCGATAAGAATGATGATGATGCGGCTGGCTGGGAGTGGCAGGTCGTTGTTGAAGCCCTTGTGCTCCCATCCAAAGATAGCCTTGTACAGCGTACCCTTTTTCAAGCGCTTCATACGGTGGAGCCTGTTTGGCAGGTCCTCTGATCCCGCGGTTGCGGCGAGCACCATGCTGATATCGGGCCGCAGTGTGCTGCGTGGGTGTGTCCGTTTGGTAATGGGATGCGTCAAGAGGTGGTGACTCATGTGCAGGATTTGGAAGGCATGAGCAGTTGCCACATTATGCTTTTGGCAAAAGAACGACTGTGAGCAGGTTGAGTCGTGTAGATGTGCATGGTGCATTCGATGTTCTATTGCATCAAGTTGGCTTAGGGGTGGCGGTTGGACAGGCTGAGCAGCAGGAGGTGCAATCATACCTGGGCGTGTTTGGTGTGGTGGTGGTTGATGCGCCGGCGCTGCTGGCAGACAGTGGCGTGGCTGGCGGGTCATCAGCCGTGATCTCTTGGTGCTTGTTTGCCCTGGGAGTGTTTGGTAGGCGGGTTGGCGTATTGCAGGGGTGTCGTAAAGGGTGGTATGATAGGGTGTCATGGTGGCCCGAGGAATTGGTGCGTTCAGTTTCGTGGCGGTGTGACTCTGGTGGCTCTCATGGCTGGAAAGGCGTGTTTCGACGCCCGGATGGCGCGGCGTGATAGGTACAATTTGGCGTACGTATTGGATTGTAGATATAAGAAGGAGCAACTGAGTCAACCACCTAGAGACGTACCTGTCTGGCGATGGTGAATGCGTTCGTTTGTTGTTGTCGTTGTCGTCGAGGCGGTTGTGCATGTTTCTGTGGAGGGATGGATGCAGGTAAGGGAAAGGTCCGTGAGTGCAAAAGTGGTAACAGTTGGGAAGATGAATGGGGTGGCAGGCCGAAGTTGTACGTGAAGGAAGAGATGAGTTTGGAGTGGAACTGAACACCCATAGTTGTATGGCCGATGAACGCATGAGACTTACACATCGTTTGCAGGATCTGGCTTGGCAGCGGAGATAGAATTTCCGTGTTCGTTTGTTTGTGCCCGGCTGCATGTAGGAATGAAGGGGGGGGGCGAAAGATGTCAAGAAGGTTCGCTGTGAGGAGGTCAAGCATGATTTCTGTCGCGAACAAATGTTGCATGTGATGCTAGGAGCAGCGTTGCTTGAAGCATGCAAGGAGTGAGCGAGGCGCGGTATAGTGGGTTGCATGGCGTGGCAAGCCTGCAGGTTGCATGGCGTGGTAGCAGGATATTTTATATATATGCCTGTTGAGAGCAGTAGTGGTCTCACCTTGTGTTGCCAGGATCACGTCCTTGACTCCATAGCGAGTAGCTCATGACCAGGTGTCTCGACCAGAAGAGCGATGGACTGAACGAGGAAAAATCCTGGACGGAATGGCAGGAAGGAATGTGTCCTGCGGCATGGGCAGATGTTATGTGCATGTTGAGATGTACGGGCATGCGTGAAGAGTGTCTTGGAATATGTATCGTCCTGTACAACAATGGTGGTAAGGGAGGCGGGGTGTGGTAAAACATTTAAAGAGCATATGGTGAGAATTTTGCGGGAGGGAAAGGGGTGGGTATAGGGCTGTAACCCTACAATAAGGAACTCAGTAAATATTATGGCTCGTCCACAGCCAACGTATTTCTGCGTTTTCATATTCCGCTTGCTTGGATTCTTGATGACGTTTATAAAAAATGGTACAACCTAAAGGCCTTCATCATTCACGCGGTTAATTTTTTTTAATGTGAGTATGAATTAGCATAAAGTTGGGCCATATTTATTGAAAGTTGCCGGAAAAGATTTCGGTCCAGGAATTTACAAAAAATTCTAGACCCGGATAACTGAGTGGCAATTTTCGAGCATCCCAGAGCAATCCGTCAGCCATCAACACTATGGGGTTGGTATACGATAGGGCTGGTGGTCGTATACGCTTGGCCCCCGCCATGCGCAGTAATACGTTTAGATGGCTCTACCTTCGAGCAAGATTGGAATACACCAGATTCTAGATTTCACCGGACAGAACCGCATTGCCACAAGCTGGTTTCAGACAAGGCCTTTGAGGGGGGGTCGACTATAAAAAAAGGATTTGTAACCGTAAGAAACATGCAGGTTATTACTGTAGGGTAATAGGCCCAAAACGAAAAAAAAACTGTGCATGCCGTTATGTGCGGTTTGCAGAAAGGGAGACGTGTGGCTTATGTTGGCAGTGGAGTGTTGGCTTTTTGTCCTGGACGGTTCTGGAATATTTCTGGAATGTGAATGAACAGTGAGACGATCTTGCGTCTTGGCAATGTGGTGGGCGCAGGTTGCGTGCTGGTATGCATCAGTAGTTATTGTGTAGCAGCGTGCATGTAACAGCGTGCATGTGTGTGTGTGTGTTACATGGTTGGGGGTGCGTGATCCCATGCCTGTAAGACTACCCATACGAGCCGAAGGTCCAAGGGCAATATTACAACGCCTAAAAGTCACGGAGAAAAGGAAAAACACCGCACATCAGCCCAGACTAGCGTCCAAAGGGGGTAATTGAGTTTCGGTGAGCCCACATACGTTCTAACATCCTCATGCGGATACTCATTGCATGGCGTCCAACATACTCTGTTGATGATCGAATCCCTCTTCAGCACGAATATCATTATAGGCTGGGCATTCCAATAACACGTGTTTTTCATATTGAATTCGGCTATTAATACCACAACAGTGGCAAAACCGCTGCCCCATGGGGACATGGTGCTTGCCCCTTCGTGCTCTGTTTGCCTCCAAAGCCCAGCAACATAAACGAAACTGCATTAGCTTACGATGTGCTAAACGAGGAAAGAAAACCTTAGCATGTGTTGGCTACATGACGGCTGCAGCATCCGAAAAGGGCAGCCCCATCCAGTGCTTATACTTAGCCATTTGCACTCCCAGTTGCTTCCCATCTGATGGGTACTTCTCTGGCAAGACAGTCAGATGCGTATGGTCCCAGGCACTCATCAAACGCTCTCTTAATGCCGTTATTATCGCTCCTTCAGGTAGAGGTCTACTCAGCAACCAGTCAACACGCTCCTTTACCCCCAGGACTTCTTGCGGTATTCCGTTCCAAATGTTCTGCTTCACCATGTAATATTGTAAGGGGAGTTCAGTCAGCTCCGCGTACAACAGCCTGTGGGATGGCCGTGCCGTCCCCACTACCTGCCTCATGAATAAAGTTTGCAGCTGGACTGCACTATCCTACAAACAGGCTTCGAACATGTCCTCCGCAAGGATGGCTTTATCCCGCCGCCTTCCCGCTTGTCCACGACCTCTGTCAGCGCAAAAGGGCGCCACGCCTGGCAGCCATACAACAGAAATGCTCGGACTTGGGTTGCAAAACACCGCATTCGCATATCGGGGGCAAACAGCTTCATTTTGTCCAGCTTTGCGCTCAAGGAAAACATAACGGACCGACCTGTATCACACAACTGCTGACGGCACGCACTAAAAGGCCGTTCTGGCCCATATACCAAGCCCAGATAGCGAGCGCTATCTTTGGCAGGTACTACCTGACCTGATAGCTGTAACTGTTGACATGTTCCCCTAAGTTCCGACTGCTGGGTGCCGTCACATGCAAAAACAAGCCTTTCACACTTTGAGACATTTGGTCGCATCCCAAAAGTTTCACAAAACAAGTCCACAAGATGTAGCAACTCAGACATTCGCTCTACTGACGTCGCTAGCAGACTAACATCGTCCGCATACAACAGTATGGACACGCGCTTGGTGTCCACAAGGGGTGCGTCATACTTACATGCACCAGCTACTACAAGGTCATGAGTATCAATCAGATCGGCTAGTGTCTCGATGAAGAGCCCAAACAACTCCGAAGATAAAGGACACCCTTTTTCACTCCACGCTTAGACTCAAACTCAACCCCCACTTTCTCATTTACCTTCATCACCATGGACACCTTCTCGTACGCTTTTCTCAGAGCACCTAGCATGGGGCCGTTAATCCCTCTTTCCTGCAACCGAAGCCACATGTGCTCGCGAGGCATCCTATCAAAGGCCTTCTCAAGGTTAATCTGTACTATTATGAACGGCGGTTGTCCCGCGATGCGATGACGCCTGACCAGGTGTTGCTTGACAAAGGGGTGGTGGGCAGTGCCAAAACCCCGCCTGAAACCCGCTTGTTAACAGCGTGCATGTAGCAGCGTGCAGTACCCAAATTAGAGCGCTAGTGAACGTAGGGCGCTAGCAAATTTACGCAGTCACTCACTCGCTCGTGTACAATTTTCCGTCGACACAATCGTTGGCGAGGAGGATAGGGCCTTACGCATCACACTACGATCCTCCAGTTGGAGATGTTATGACGATGTGACGGCGAATCGACGGTGCCACGGTCCCATGCACCCACGTGCCCACGCGTTCACGCGTCCATGTGCCCCTCCATGCTCGCGTTCTCACGTCCTCATGTGCAACTCGCGTGTGACCCGTGATTTGAACCTGCGACCTGTCATCCTCGCGTCGTTCGCTGTGGTACGGGTGTTGTCATGTTGTTGTCAGCACGGTGGTGGGCGGTTCGCGGTTCGGCTGTCGACGAGTCGCTGTGCTTCCTGGAAGAGTGCTGTGTGTCGTTCCCGGGTACGTTGTGCAGCAGCGGTCTGGAGTTTGCTTTCTGCATCGAGGTCCGGGTGGATGGTGGCTGCTTTGGTGAACGCCTTGATGACCTGTGCTTTCTCATAGGCGTTGTTGTAGAGTGGGTGCAGGAGGCGGATATGGTCCATGGACTTGTAGCGCGTGAGGATGACAAAGAGGCATGCACGCTTGATGCCAGTTGGCGGTGGGCAGAGGTCGACGATCCAGCAGTCATCCTTGAAACTGCACCCCTGGACGAAGAAATCCGTGACAGCATAGGCGTCTCCGAGAGGGACGTTGCGACGTCGCACCCTGAGGACTGTCTCCCTGCCTTGGTCATCGAGGGTGTGGACGTTGAGGGGGTTCTTTGTGGAGCGTGGGCAGACCGGGAAGGCATGCTGCACATCTTCGAAGAGTTCCTCCCCCTTGAAGACGTTGGCGCTGCCCACGGTTTTTGCAGGCGTGACCAGCACAGCTTGGGGCAGATACTTGAGGCGCCAGAAGGGGCCTGTGCCATGATCCGGTGGTTCACGGGGGTCAGTGATCAAGCCGACTGCATGCACCAGGTTGTTGCGGCAGGCGCCAGCAGAGGCGCCACTGTCTCTGGTGGTGTCCGACAGCAGGAACATGGCACCCTCGAAGTACCAGGTGTCAGGTGTGAGGCCGTCAGTCTTGTCGTCCGTCTGCAGCAGGGCCTGCAGCTTGTCCCGCTCAGACAGGCGCGGGGGCTCAGGGTCATCCCGGCTCTTGACAGGTACGTGCATGGCGTTCCAGACGACGAGGTGCTTCTTGGCCTTGATGGCCGCCATCTGCAGCAGGCGTGTGTTGAGGCGGTGGCGCGGGGCGTTGCGCTGCAGTACCACTCATGGGTCTTGGTGCGCGATGTCCGCCAGGTCCTTGATGGCCTTGGCGTTGAGGTTGGTGACCAGCTCGTCGATATCCTCTGGTGTGGCGAGTCTCTGGCCGTTGAACATCTGCGAGAGCTCCGTGAGGCGTCATCCTGAGTCAGTGGCTGACTGGCGCTGTTGCTTGGTGAGGAAGAAGACATCCTCCACAGCACGGTAGAGTGTGAAGCCCGCGAGGATGAGGTCTTGTGTTGCAGGCGCCTTGGCCCTGGGGCGCGGTGTTTTTTTCTGCAATACTGGAGGAGCTGTGTCGCCTGTTGTCTGGGCGACCATGGCTAGAGCGGCCTCAGCTACTGGCGGCGTGAAGAGCGGGTTGTCCAGAAGGGAGCGCGCCCAGCTGTAGACCGGCTTGCCGTTGGGCTGTGTGTGCTGGTAGATGTCGCCGATGAGGCAGAAGGGACGCCCCCTGAACGCCTGGCGGGCGGCATCATCTGTTGCAACACCGATGGTGTCGTCCAGGGACTTGTTGCATGCGTGGTTGCAGGCGCCCAGGTGCTCGAGGCTGTTGTAGCCAATCTCGTCGATGCAGATGGCCCCTGTGCCGACATTGGCTTTCACCTGTGAGGATGGTGGCGGGGAGATTATGGCATGGGAGGAGGGGTGAGCAGGCATGTGCACATGAGGGTGGGGGTGCCTGCGCAGTGCAGCAGGCAGGAGCAGGTGTTTGGAGAGAGCAGGGCCACACCTGGGCAGTGGCGTTGGCCTTGAAGCGGTTGGGCGGTATGAGCTGGAACATGGAGTGGGTGGATAGGGACCTGTGGACGGGCGTGGTGAAGGGCAGCGTGGCCGTCCAGGCAAAGGCGGCGGTGGCCAGCCAGTGCGGCAGCTGGTGCTGATAGGTGTACCACAGCAGCGCGTGCACGAACTGGCTTTTGCCTGTGCCGGGTCCGCCAACGATCAGGAGCCGTGGGGGCTGCGGCTGGTTGGGTGAATGGCGGGTGTTGAAGTAGCGTGCCATGAGCATGAACGGCACGGCCTGTTCAACGGACAGTGTGAAGAGCTGGATGGTGTCCTCGATGGTGGGTGGCACGCAGAGCGGCAGGTACGGGGGCAGGGAGCCAGGTTGTAACACGGTCTCATCGTCCGGTTCACCCGCCTCTGTAGCGGATGCTTGGGTCACCACAGCCAGCACCGCGTGTTGCTGGTGTCGCAGCTGGAGTTGCAGCTGTGAGTCCTGGCCAGGGTCGAAGTTCATACTGTCTGTGACGGCGCCCCCCAGCTGGCCGCCAGCTGCCTCGAACATCTCCAGGGCCCTGGTGGCACGCTTGATGGCTGCTACTGTGTCTGCACTGCCGTGGCGTATGAAGCCTAGCTGACCAGCGTGTTGTCCGTCCACTAGGGGCGGTGGTCGGCACCGATCTGCCGCCTTGTGAGCGTAGGAGTCTTCTGAGGAGGCAGTGGGGAACAAAGTGGCAACGTCGGCGGCGTGCAGGTCGAACTGGCTGAGCTCTGGCGGCCTGTCGTCTGCTGCATCATTGAGGTTGAGTGCCGGGATGTGGTGGTCGCCGTCGTCATTGTCACTATTGGCGGGGTCTCGGCGGCGCACATGTAGGGGCTCGTCCTCATCCTGCTCACTGTCAGAACTGTCGCTCCCCGAGTCCGGGCCAACAGGCAGGCCACGGGCACGGTGTTGCCGCCGTAGTTTGTTGTATGCCTCTCGTGTATAGTCACGGCACTCATGCTCCGCCTCCAGGTTGTCCAGGACAGACATGATGAAACCAGCCATGTCTGGTCCGGCCTGCGGCAGGATGTTATCCCGCCAGTCAAGGTATGCCTGGCGCAGGGTCATCCCTGGTGGGATGGGGGTGGTGTGGTAGGCCTTGAAGGTGGAGAGAACGAAGGCGTAGTAGTGCCGTGCTGATGGGCTGTCATCATCATCGGGCGGTGGCCGTCGCGGAATGGGCCCCAGCAGTGTTGTGTACTTGACACGCGGCAAGCGATGGTGAGCATGGGTGGCATACAGTGGGTGGGTGGGTTGGAACACCACCCAGTCGACAGGCTCCGTGGCGCCGGTGCAGGTGTGCGTGTAGGCAGATGCTGCTGTAGCAGCACCATTAGCACTGCGGGCGGATGGGCCCGTCTGGGTGTCTACCTGGGCGGCGGCTGTGGTGGTCGGGGCAGTGGCGTCATGCTCCATGTCATCTTGGGAGGACTCATCTGTGTTGTCATCCACGAAGGCAGCTCGTGGCGACTGGCGGCGTCTTTGTTTTGGGCGGCGGGGGGTTGTGAGAGACTTGGTGTGCGGGTGGCTGCCCGGCGGCAGCTTGGTGATGGTGTAGGTCATGGCGAGAACGAACGGGCTGCACTCGATTCCATCCAGTTCCGAGCCACGTTGGCGGTAGTGAGTCAGAGCCGTCACAGCAGCACCCGGCTGCTCCGGATTGTCATTGTGAAAAACCAGTAGGGTTTCAGCTGCTGCTTCCAAGCTGTTGATGTCATCATGGTCATCCCGGAGCACAATGGCCATGAACGGGCCTGTGCTCAAGAATGTGTTCTCGTACGTGCACTCGAACGTTTCGTGCCCTGCCAACTTGAAGGATGCCATGGCCATTCCGATGGTCAGGCTGGCTGTCGTACGGTTCGCCGCGGAGATAAGGTTTCCGATGCCCTTGCGTCGGTCCTCGTGGGCGGCTGCGGGATCTCCACCACCAGCAGCTGCAGTGTCAAGGAAGTGGCGGCTGATCATGATCGCGCGGTTCAGCCGTGTGACTTGGCTCTGCGACGTGGCCTTGGTGACATACTTGGTGGCATAGTGCGTGGTTCGGCGGGCCACAACTTCTGCTTGCACAAGGATGTCCTCCAGGACCTTGGGGTCACGCATGGGGACCGGCAGTACAAGCTGTTCCTCCACTGTTGCAGTGTACTGACGGTCGAGCTCGCAGGCCAGCGTGAACACATTGTTGCAGCCCAGCACCATTGTGACAGTGGGGCAATGGGGCACAATGTTGGGGCCGTATCAGGGCAGAACGAACATGCCGCTGTCGCCCACCCACTTGAACTCACGCCGGATGTGGCGTGGGTAGGCCATGCCGCAGTCTCCATCCACGCCTGCACAGCCGAAGCGTTTGCAGGTGTCAGTGTGTTTGTGGGTGCAGGACCCCACGACACCCGCCACAAGGTGCTGGGTGCAGCATTCCAAGCACACTTCGGGTGTAAAGGTATCAGTGGCTTCACCTCCGGTCCCATGCGGCTTGCCATGGGTGACAATAGCAAAGTCATACACGGGCGCCGGCATGGATCCATCTGGCTGAGGCGCGTGGATGGCTGGGGGCCGGCCAGCGGACGCTGCGGTGGGGCCTGGCTGGACGCCATTGTCACCATTGCCAATGTCTTCATCTGTGCCCGAGGTGCTGCCAGGTTCTGCTTGAGTCAGGCCGTCATCCTCTTCTGCAGTAGCATCTGTCATGTCGTCATCACCAGAATTCGTTGCTGCCATTGATGTTTCCATGGGCGTTGGTGCAACTGCCGTTGGTGTGGTGGGTGCAGCCGTGACCAGGGGTGTCTGCCAGAAGACTCGTCGCTCTTTGTCCTGAATGTCGTAGTACAGCTCAGGCAGCCACATGCTGCAGAGGGCGTGTGCCAACGCCAGAGCGCGGCAGTTGGGCCCCTCAAACAGGGCCCGCATTTTGTCCACGGTGAATGCTGCCAGGTGCGCCATGCCGTGCAAGTGCAGGGCGAGGCGTCCACTCTGCTCCACCTTAATGCAGATGTGGAACACGGTGCCACAGAAGCAGTCGGGGTTGCTCTGCCGCTTGTCGCCAGGTTTGAAACCAAAAAGGATGTCCATGAAGGCGAGCTTAACCGCGTTGAGGAGTGCTTGGCTGGCGTAGGGGTTGTTTCGCACCCGCCGCCACTTGTCCATGACACACTCCTCCCGCAACGGAGCACCATCCTCGCCAAATTCCAAAAATTGCCCAGCGGCCACGACTGCAGCCGCACTGTGCAAGTCGGCGGGGTTGACGTTAAACATGAGGAGTGGCAGCCCGGTTGCGGCGGCTACACCACGTAGATTGGCGTGCGCGTTGCGGTAATAGGCATCTGTCATGTCGATGCGTGCGACCGTTCGCCGAAGAGAGGTGACGAGGGTGTGCACGAGAGGTGACGTGTCTTGGAGCAAGCGGCGGCGATCCGGGTGCATCTTCGGCAAGGCCAGGATGTCCGCCATGGCTTTGACAGCCTCTCGCGGGATGGCGCCCACCATGTCAATGTCTTGCTGGCAGCTCTTCACTGTAACCCACGTCTGCACTTTTGCGTCCTCCATGTTGAGCACGTCCACCATGCGGGCGAGCATGAGGAGGTTGCCACTGAGCTGTCGCCGTGGCACACGCATGGACACATGCTGGAAGAAGGTCCGGTTGCTCATACCCAGGGGACGGAGGCCGCCCTCAGCGTACGGAAATGCGGTGGGGAAGTTGCTGGCAAGCACGTCTTCCCGGGAGTAGTCCAGGATCTGCAGCAGGACCGAGGCATAGAGTCGGGAACATGCATTGGGCAGGTCGATTGTGATATGCATATTGGTGAGGAGGCACAAGCCTTATGCGGGTGTGTCATGCACGAGAGTAGCAGCGCATCAGGGAATACACTTCACCCACCCATTACCAGATTACCTTAGAACCACGGCCCCCAGACGCAAAGACCAGCCGGCGCTCCGCTGTCAGCTCACGGTGTAGCTCCACCGGGTTTCGTGCATCATCACCTGATCCCGGCACAGGTGTGTCAGGGACAACAGGCACCAGAACTTCAAGCTCCTCGAGACCAACATCCTCCGGTGTGTTGTCCGCTTGAGTAGATGAGGCAGCAGCGACGGCGGCAACGAGAGCCTCCGGTCTGGGGTTCTGCATGACGGACGGGTGCTGGTGTACGGCTGCGGCCCCCGTGCAGTCATGGAAGAAGGTGTTGGTGAGGAGCGTGGCGACGTTGGGATCTGTCGGAGCAACAGTGGAGCGGATGATGGACTGCGGCACATGACGTTCTGGGTCCATTGCCTGCCACTCCTGCATCGCTTGGTCATCGATATGCCTCTCGGAGGTGAGGTTGCTGAGGTAGTTGACCCAGGCCACAATATTAGCTGCTCGGACGGACAACACCTTGGCGCTCTTGAGCTTTTCTAGCAGTTCCTCCTTGCTGCTGACAACATCCATGCACAGGACGGTGATGTTCTCCGGCAACAATGCAGCAGAGCGTGGGATGGCATCCACCCACTGATCAAGAGATGGGTTCACCACGGCTATCCCGTGCATTGTGACGGCGATGGGCTGTAAGTCAGGCGGCCGGTTCTTGACCTTGAGTGTGTAGATCTGCTGCTGCACATGGCCCAGCCCCAGTATGTTGGCTTCCAGCACGGTAGGCCACTCTAGACGCTGCCCGTCCTGATTGATTTCGGGCACGTCTCCACCATCATAGCGTGCGAGAGCAGCCTCCGGGATGCGTCCACCTGGATGTGGAGGCAGCAGCCACAGGCAGGGCAGACCAGGCAGAATAACCAGAGGATGCGTGCGTGCATGCATGAACACCCAGCACACATGATTGGCAACGAAAGCACTGCATGCAAATTTTCATGTTAGTGTTTAGTGCTTACGTTCCAAGGCATGAATGCAGTCGTTGCACATCATGATGATGTCGTCGCCAGCCTCGTTGGTGTGCACCGTACAATTCTCCCCAGAGCGCTCCACACACATGCAGTACGGCACTAGCCACACACCCGGAGCAATGGGATCCGGCCGTGGCTCCATGCCAGGTCGTGGCGGCCACGAAGGGAGCATCCATTCCTCATGCTGGCCGTCCGCGTCTTGTGGCCGTGTCACATCCACTTCCTGCTCGTCGTCAACACCATCCGTCTCACGCCGACGTCGCCGTGGCAGACTAGATGGGCCCGCCTCATGCGGTGGAAAGTCTTCCGGGAAGCCGTATGCTCCAGTGTTGCCCAAATGGTCCCGCGCCTGTTGCAACGAACTGCGCTGCTGGGTGGGTTGGCGGTGCTCTTGGTCATCTGAACCACCAAAGTCCTCTGTCGTACCAGGACGCTTGGTGAGCCCCGTCTTCTCCGTAGAATGCCCATTGAGCCACGTCTTTCGGAAGCCCCACGGCAAAGCTGGCTCGGGCGGTGGTGGTGCTCTGCCCCCTGGTGCGGCTGCCACTGGTAGCCATGCGACGACTTGAGCTGGACGCGCCACTGCCAGCGTCCTCCAAACATCTGCACGCAACTGGTGCACGTTGGGGATGTCACCAAACCGGTAGCCGTGTGCCTGTACCGCGGACTTCATCTCGCTGCAGCAGGCGCAGACACAGGATGGCATGTTGTTTTTGACAGCGGCATCAAGCTGTTCGGCGACTCGAATCTGTTCCGCTAGAGGAACAGTGGGCAGAGGCTGACCCGCAGGAACATCTTGCACACGTTCCGGCCATGAAGCTGTACTGCTGTCTAACCAGGCACCCATACGAGGCTTGGTGGGGTTTGTCGGCCGCCTGAACACCCAGAAGGCAGCATCCAAAACTGCCTCCACAAGGCTACCCCTGCTGCGGCGGGTGTGTTGTGGTGTGTGCTCCTCTGATGACTGCTGAATCACACGGGTTTGATGCTTTCGAGCTGCGTCCGCTGTTTGGTCTGCCGCCACTTGCTCAGGCGTTCGGTTGGCTCGCACCTCTGCTACCCGAGCTGCATGTGCTGCTCGATGCGTAGCCACTTGCTCAGGCGTTCGGTTGGCTCGTGCTTCCGACCACCGTGCCCACCGAGCAGTAGCTGCTGCTCGGTCTGCCGCCACCTGCTCAGGTGTCCGGTTGGCTCGCGCATCTGCCCATCGCGCTGCAGCTGCTGCTCGATCCGCCGCCACTTGCTCAGGCGTCCGGTTGGCTCGCGCCTGCACCTTTCTGGTTGCATCCGCACTGGACAGCTCGGGTGTCGGCGGGGAAGGTGTGGCTTGAGTCCGGCCCTTCAAGCTCAGAAGCCACGAGCCTCCACCTGCAACTGTACCTAACCGCCGACGTCCTGCATGATGTCAGGAAGAGGATTACTAGTCTACCGCCCATGCAGGAGATGGAGCAACATTACAGGCATCAGTCCCAACCAGGACTCCTTACCGGAACCCGAATTGTCCATACAAATGGCCAGTCAGACTGTGTCGCGACAGGTTATCCTCCTATCCTCAAGAAGGGATAGGGCCAATGGAACACAGTACATCGATACAAGATGCATGTATGTTCCGCACCACCGCTGTTTGGTAGAATTTTATCCTGAATCCGTATGATAAATTTTATCCTAAAATTAATAAATACACTCGAGGGCCAATGGCACACATTACTTCTATACAATAACTGTGCTGCGCAGAATCGCTGGTTGATAGAATGTATTCTGAATCCGTATGATTCTATAGAATTTTTGCGACTGTATTTTATCCCGGGGAATGTTGCGGTGTGCGCGACTTCACGTCATTTCGTGGCGGTTGGCTGTGTTTTCTGCGACTGTATTATATCCCGGGGAATTACTGGAACTGTAACTTATCCAGGGGAATTTCTGTAGTTTATCCCGGGGAATTTCTGGAATTTCTGCGACTGAATTTATCCCGGGGAATGTTGCGGTGTGCGCGACTTCACGTCATTTCGTGGCGGAGCCGTTGTAGTCTAGTTTTCCACTGCAAGTCCTGTCCCACAGTGGAACTACGTGGATATACCCACAGCCACACCCAGGCGTACCCGGTTATCCTGATATTTTGTGATAAACGTTTAACCTTGCAAGTTCAAGTCGAACAACACAACTACGCGCGTCTGTTGTTCGTTAACCACCACCGCACCCAGTCGTCCCCATGGCCTGACGGCCCAGTATCCGCGTGTCCCCACCCACATGTTCACGGTACACATGCACGCGTCCACGCTTCATGCACACGCCCATGTTACATCCTCATGTCCCGCGTCCACGCGTCCATGCTACATCCACGTGTGGCTACATTCACAGTGCCACGGTCCCATGTGCCCACGTGCCCACACGCTCACGCGTCCATGTGCCCTTGCATCCTCGCGTCCTCACGTCCTCGCATCCTCGCGTGCAACTCGCGTGCGACCCGTGATTTGAACCCGCGACCTGTCGTCCTCGCATCCTCGCGTTTCGGTGTGCAACTCGAAATTCGCGGAGTGCGACTCGAACCCGCGACCTCTGATTGTGAAGAGGGGGCGCGCTAACGAAAAACGCAAAGCTCCGGAACCATCCAATCGAGCGCGACTTTCCAACGAGCTCCGGACGCGAGCCGGTCACGGACGCGACGAGGCGCGGTCCCTGCGGTCCCGAGGGTGCCGTAGCTCTCGTTCGGGTCCGGTCTGCATATGCTTGCACATCGCATATGCTTGCAGATGGCATATGCTTGGCCATCACATAATATGCTTGCAGATCGCATATGCTTGCAGATCGCATATGCTTGCAGATCGCATATGCTTGCAGAGCGCATATGCTTGCACATCGCATATGCTTGCAGATCGCATACGCTTGCACATCCTATATGCTTGCAGAGCGCATACACTTGCAGAGCGCATATGCTTGCAGATCGCATATGCTTGCACATCGCATATGCTTGCATATCTCAAATGCTTGCAGATCGCATTTGCTTGCAGATCGCATATGTTTGCATACTGCATTGCTTGCATACCGCATATGCTTGCAGATCGCAGATGCTTGCGGATCACATATGCTTGCAGAGCACATATGCTTGCACATGCGATTTGCAAGCATATGCAGATCGCATACGCTTGCACATCCCATATGCCTGCAGAGCGCATATGCTTGCAGATCACATATGCTTGCAGAGCGCATATGCTTGCACATCGCATATGCTTGCAGGTCGCATATGCTTGCAGATCACATATGCTTGCAGATCGCATACGCTTGCACATCCCATATGCTTGCAGAGCGCATATGCTTGCACATCACATATGCTTGCACATCGCATACGCTTGCAGATCACATATGCTTGCAGAGCGCATATGCTTGCACATTGCATATGCTTGCAGATCGCATATGTTTGCAGATTGCGTATGCTTGCAGATCGTATATGCTTGCAGATCGCATATGCTCGCAGATCACATAATGGCATATGCTTGCAGATCGCAGATGCTTGCAGGTCGCATATGGCATATGCTTGCACATCGCATATACTTGCATATGGTATATGCTTGCATATGGCATACGCTTGCATATGGCATATGCTTGCAAATTGCATATGCTTGCAGATCGCATAATGGCATATGCTTGCAGATCGCATATGCTTGCAGATCGCATATGCTTGCAGGTCGCATAAGGGCATAGGCTTGCAGATCGCATATGCTTGCATATGGCATACGCTTGCATATGGCATATGCTTGCAAATTGCATATGCTTGCAGATCGCATAATGGCATATGCTTGCAGATCGCATATGCTTGCAGATCGCATATGCTTGCAGGTCGCATAAGGGCATAGGCTTGCAGATCGCATATGCTTGCAGATCGCATATGCTTGCAGATCGCATATGCTTGCAGATCGCATATGGCATATGCTTGCAGATCGCATAATGGCATATGCTTGCAGATCGCATAATGGCATAGGCTTGCAGATCGCATAAGGGCATAGGCTTGTAGATCGCATATGCTTGCAGATCGCATATGCAGATGCATATGCTTGCAGATCGCATATGCTTGCAGATCGCATATGGCATATGCTTGCAGATCGCATAATGGCATATGCTGCAGATCGCATAATGGCATATGCTTGCAGATCGCATAAGCATATGCTTGTAGATCGCATATGCTTGCAGATCGCATATGCTTAGATTGCATATGCTTGCAGATCACATATGGCATATGCTTGCAGATCGCATATGCTTGCAGATCGCATATGCTTGCAGATCGCATATGGCATATGCTTGCAGATCGCATAATGGCATATGCTTGCAGATTGCATATGCTTGCAGATCGTATAATGGCATATGCTTGCACATCGCATAATGGCATATGCTTGCAGATCGCATAATGGCATATGCTTGCAGATCGCATAATGGCATATGCTTGCAGATCGCATAATGGCATATGCTTGCAGATCGCATATGCTTGCAGATCGCACATGCTTGCAGATCGCATATGGCATATGCTTGCAGATCGCATAATGGCATATGCTTGCAGATCGCATAATGGCATATGCTTGCAGATCGCATATGCTTGCAGATCGCACATGCTTGCAGATCGCATATGGCATATGCTTGCAGATCGCATATGGCATATGCTTGCAGATTGCATATGCTTGCAGACTGCGTATGCTTGCATAATGCAGATGCATGCGCATATACATAACATATTGCATATCGCATATCGCATATCGCATATCGCATATCGCATATCGCATATCGCATATCGCATATCGCATATGGCATATTGCATATCACATATCGCTGCATATGGCATATATCGCATATCGCATACCGCATATCGCAAATCGCAAATCGCATATTGCTGCATATCGCATATTGCATATCGCATATCGCATATTGCATATGGCATATTGCATATCGCATATCGCATATCGCATATCGCTGCATATGGCATATATCGCATATCGCATACCGCATATCGCAAATCGCAAATCGCATATTGCTGCATATCGCATATTGCTGCATATCGCATATCGCTGCATATCGCATATCGCTGCATATATGCATATATGAAATATGAAATATAAAACATATTTGCGCTGGGGATCGAACCAGCGACCTTCCGTACTTTTCGGCGCGGTCTTAAGCGCGTACGGCACGCTCCCGACCCGGAATTTCCAAAACGCTCCGGACAACCGGACGGACAGACAACCATCGAACTCGGGGTAGGCCTCCGCTCATAACATATGAGCTACGGCGATTCAGAGATGCCTTCCCTCCGCTTCGCTCTTCGCTGCGCTACGAGAAGCTACGGTGACATATGAGCTACGGCGATAGGCCTCCGCTCATAACATATGAGCTACGGCTACAGACGTAAAGTTGGGGTAAGGTCTCCGTCCCGACGACGGAACGACTAAACGTCGTCCGTCTAACGTCGGGACTACGACTACGGCAAGTTACCAAACGTCATCCCGGACGGACACGCGGACGCCCCCCGCAGCCTAAGGTCTCCGTCCCGACGACGGAACGACTAAACGTCGTCCGTCTAACGTCGGGACTACGACTACAGACGTAAAGTTGGGGTAAGGTCTCCGTCCCGACGACGGAACGACTAAACGTCGTCCGTCTAACGTCGGGACTACGACTACGGACGGACGGCCGCCTCAGCCTAAGGCCTCTGCTAGACTACTACGTAGTCGCTACGGCTACTTTGTAGGAGCTACGGCGACGGACGGCAAATCGGCCTAAGGCCTCCGCTTTCCTACTTCGTAGGAGCCACGGCGACGGACGCCGGATCGGCCTAAGGCCTCCGCTTTCCTACTTCGTAGGAGCTACGGCGACGGACGCCGGATCGGCCTAAGGCCTCCGCTTTCCTACTTCGTAGGAGCTACGGCGACGGACTAGAGCGCGCTGTTCGCGCGAGTGGGCCGTAGCTCCGTCGCTGAATCGCGCGGAGCACGGCGACTATGCTGTGCTCCTGAGGGCCGCATTGCTACACGCAATCTCACACACACACAACAAGTAAAGTATATATATACGAAGGCGGAAGGAAACTGAGCTTGCACGCAACTTTAGCCTGTCGGCCAGTGTGAAACGCTCGCGCGGGACTCGAACCCGCAGGGGGCTCCACACACACATTGGTGGGCAGCTCCCCATTCCTTCCCGTAGGGAGCGAGCGTGTCGTCCGGGGTATCCCCCTTACCCCGGACGCTGTCATTTAACGCCGTACAGTGGCGGGTCGTGGCTTCAACTGTCAACTAGCCTTGTCAACTGTCAACTAGCGGGTCCAGCGGGTTTCCAGCTGGCATGCATGCTGGAACTCGGTCGTGTACCGCTGCTCCGTTTCGCGTGCTGCCTGCTTCAGTAGGCGCAGGTTGGCGGCCAGATCCGGCTCGAGCTTGGTCGCGCTGAGGAATTGTTTGATGACCTTCTTGCGCTCGTGTGGCGTGGTATAAAGCGGCCGCAGCAGACGGACGTGGTCCAGCATCTTAAAGCGGGTCAGCAGCACATACAGGGTGGCACGCTTGATGCCGTTGGGTGGGACAGCAAGATCCACCAGCCAGCATTCGTCTTTGAAGCTGCGGCCTTGTACGAAGTAATCGGTGACCGCCTGGCGGTCGCCGAGCGGTACGTTGAGGCGCCGGACCTGCTTTGTGATGGTGCCACACTCGGGGGCGGGCATCTCCACCTCGGCAATGCAAGACACCCGGGGTGACAGGATGAAGGCGCCACCCCTGCTGGCGTAGTCTGCAAGGCCCTGCAGCACGGTGTCGGGGATATGGCCGTTTATAGGCCGCACAATGACGGCCACTGGAAGGTACTTGAGCCGGCAGTAGGGGCCGTGGCCGTCATCTGCTGGCTCGCGGCCATCCTCAAGCAGGCCGCAGGCTTCCACCTCGTTGTTGTGACTCGCCCCGGCATCGGCAGCCGTCGTATCAAGGAGGATGTATCGGGCGCCATGGTAGTACCACGTGTCGGCGGTGGTGTGGCCAAAGTCGTAATCCTTTATTCGCATCGCAACTGCTTTCTCCACGTGTGTCAGGGCCGGCTCTACAGCGGTGCCGCGCTTCTGGACAGGGATGTGGTCTGCATTCCACACCACGAGGCGCTGGTTCTTGCGCTGTGCTTCCAGCATTATGAGGCGGGTGTTGAGCGTGTGGCGTGGTTCGTTCCTCTGCAGCACGACGCGCGGCTCGAGGTGCGCTAGGTCGGCTAAGTCGGCGACAGCGCGGCTGTTGAGGTCGTCGACCATCTCGGCTATGCGCTGCTCTGTGGCTGGCTCACCGCCGAACATAGAGGCGTACTCTGTCAGGCGACGACCAGAGGGACTGCTGTCCTGGTGCTGCTGCTTCTCCAGCAAGAAGACGGTCTTAGCCAGGTAAACTCGGAAGCCCTCGAGTATGCAGCTCTGAGCCTGTGGGACGGCCCGGGGCCGGCGTGCTGCTACTTCGGGTTGCTGCTGACCGCCTTGGGATCCAGCAGCGGCCTCGTTAGGGTCGCCATCATTGTCCTCCTCTCCGTGCAGAGGCTGTGCGGCCGGGACGGAGGGTGAGAACTGGGGGTTGTGTTCTACATCAGCGGTGTACCGGTAGAGGGGCGGCCCACCTGGCTTCGGGTGCTGGAACTCGTCGCCTGTGTTGGCGCTGGGGCGGCCGCTGAGGATGGTGGCTGCAGGGTGGTCACGGGCGAGATGCAACAGGTGACGAGTGCAAGACTGGTTGCACGCGCCCAGATGGTCCAGGCTGTTCATACTGATCTTGTCAATGATGAGCGCACCATTGCCGACGTTGCGATGCACCTGCAGGCTGGCTGCGCTGCCTTTTCTGACGCTTTCCGCTCGGTTGCTGCCAGCAGAAAGGGCGAACATGGCGTGGGTAGAGAGGCTGCGATGCACCGGCGTGTTGAATGCAACTGCAGCAGCCCATGAGTAGGCGCAGGTGGCCGCCCAGTGCAGGCAGCCATGCTGGAAAGTGTACCAGAGGAGCGCTTGTACAAACTGGGTCTTTCCGGTACCGGGCTTGCCCTCCACAAGCATCTGCGGTGGGTCGCCAGGGTTGGGCTCATCGCGGCGGGGTGGGGTTGGGCTCGTCGGGGAGGGTTGGGCTCATCGTGGGGGGCGAGCGTGAAAAGCTCAATGGTGTCGTCGATGCTGGGCGGCTGGGGGAGGTGCACATAGATGGGCATGCGAGCCTGCTCAGTCCGCTCAGGAGTGCCAGGCATGCGCATGATGGCAACCAGGGGTCCGCTGGTGGGGCGGTGCAGCTCGACATGAGGGGTGTCCATCTCAGGTGGGGCCGTCAGTCCCGTGTGGGCGCCCCCATCTGCCTCAACAGTGCCGGCTGCTGCTGCAACGAGATACCGCTTCAGATGCTTGCTCGCTTCGGTCAGGAGGGGCAGGTCCGCTGGTGTGATCCGACGGCTGAAACGATCACTGCGTGCACCATGGCCGTCCACTAAGGCCGGGGCTCGGCAGCACCGTGCCGCATCATAGGCATACGCGCCAGCAGCGTTGGTGCAGTCAAACAGATCCGTAAGAGTGACGGCGGCGAGGTCGGTGCCAGCCGTCGGATCCTCCTGACCCGGGATGTACACGAAGTGCTCCAGCTGGTCCTCAGCGGGTGGCTGTGTTTCAGAATCAGGCCTGAGATGCCCGCGGATGGCGTCGTCGGTATCTCCATCCGAAGCGCTCGTGCTGTCACCTTCAGGCAGCGCGGCTGCTGCCGCTGCCGCACGCTGCTGGCGGCGCCGCTGGTTGTACTCCGCCTGATGGTGGGCTTTCCCTGCGTGGTCCTCTTCGATGTTGTCCAGCAGCACCGTTACGTACGCTTGGTATGAGCGACCTGCCTCGGTAGTGGCCAGCTCTGCCCACCAGGTGTCGTAGGCTTCTTTTACAGTCAGCCCGGGGGGGATGGGCTGACCCCGGTGAGCTTTGAAAGTACCCAGGACAAACGCGTAGTACTGCGCCATGCCCGCAGCAGAGGTGCCAGGGCGGGGCCGGCGGGGAAGAGAGCCTCCAAGTTGTACATATCGCGGCCGCGGCAGGCGGATGTGGACATGTGTTCTGTACAGTGGATGCGTGCCATGGAAGGCCACCAGGCGGGGCAGCTTCGTGGCTGTCTGAGACGTTGGCTGGTCGAGTGTCGCTGCAGCTGTAGGAGCAGGTGGCTCAGGAGGAGGGGCCGGGGCTGCAGTCAGCAGAGGCACAGGGGCAGGCACAGGGGCGGTTATGGGTGTGGCAGGGGCAGTGCGCTTGCGGCGTCGAACTGCCACCGGGACCTGTAGACCCAATCGCTCTCGGTGCGGGTGCTGAGCTGGCGGCACACGTCGAACCTCATAGTTCGAGACTATGTTGTACACACTGCAGTCCAGGCCGCTGAGTTCTTCCCCCCGCAGCACGTAGTTATGCACGGCGTTGGTCACCGTGTACCCCTCCTGCTCCTCAGCCTCCACCAGTACCGCCGCTGTAGTCGCTGCCTCAGGAGATTGCTCGGCGCCCGCAGATAGCGCTGTGAATGCGTCTACCTGCAGGTATGCGCTTTCGAACGTCGCCTCGAAGGTGGAATGACCGTCCAGCTTCATGGCGACAAGCGCCATACCAGCCGTAATGGCAGCCGTCATGCGATGCACAGTGGCACACATGTTGCCAAAGGCAGTGGGCCCACTAGCACCCGGAGTTGGCGTCCTTCCAGCGAGCAGGAAGTCCTGCACTCGGGTAAGAGCGTTGCACGTCAGCTGCGCCTGGCTGTCGTTGATGCTCTTGCCAGTGTACTTCGTGCTGTAGTAGGCAGAGTCGTGGGCACGGTCAGCGGCAGGTTGCAGCAGCACACAGTCCCCCCGTTCATCTTCAGGGCGGGCCAGTTGCGCTGCTGCCTCTGCCGTGTAGACGCGATCCACCTCGCACGCCAGAGTAAACAGCTGGTTGCACCCAAATGCCAGCACTGCAGCTGGCATGTGCGGTATAATGTTCGGGCCCAATCACGGCAGAAGGAAGAGGCCGCAGGTGCCAATCCACTGAAAGGCGCTGCGCAGGACACGAGGGAACGCCATGCCACAGCTATCATCTGTGCCACGGCAGCCATGTCGCTTGCACGTGTCGTTATGTGTATGAGTAAGTGTGCTGCGAACGACGGCTGCGTGGTGTGCACGGCAAGCAGCATGCCGGGGAGGAGGCGGGAGCCCGCCACCTGCACACCCAGCGAGCCTGCCAAAATCGTACACTGCAGGCGGGCAGGACTTGTCGATGGGCGGAGGTGCACGGCCATGCTGCCGGGCCTCTTCGACGGTCATGTCCATGACGCAGTGTTCTGTACCGTGGACGAAAGGGTCATAGTACGGCGAGGGATACCACATGGCGCACAGCGCGTATGCCAGGGCCAGCGCTCGGCAGTTGGGTCCGTTGAACAGTGCCTGAAGACGCTCGACTGCGAATGCGGCCACATGTGCGACACCGTGGATATGCAGGGCAAGGCGGCCGCTCTGCTCTACCTTGACCGCCACCTCAAACGTGAGCCCGCAGAAGCAGTGCGGGTTGGTCTGCTGCATGGCGCCTGGCGCAAACCCGAAGAGCTCTTCCACCAGAACCTCCTTGGTGGCCACCAGCAGAGCGGCACAACTGTACGGGTCGTCCTTCACACACCGCCACTTTTCCACCGTGCTCGGGATATGCTGCGGTCGTCCGTCATCGTCGAAGTCCAACACCTGTCCGGATGCCACGACTGCACAAGCTGCATGTATATCTGCCGGATTAACGGTGAAGAACAGCGGAGGCCAGCCAATGGTGAGGGCGGCTGCACGCATTTTGGAGCGGGCGCCATTGTAATATGCGTCTGTAAGGTCGAGGCGCAAAGTACTGAGGCGGGCCCCCTCCACCAGCGCCTTAACCAGCGGCGATTGCTGTGTAAGCAGCTGCCACCGCTGCGAGTGCCGATACGGCAGCGCCAGTATGGTGCCCATAGCACGGATGACATCATGCGGCACACGCACCGCTGGTTCACCGAGATGCGGCCGCATGTTCATGGTAATTCCCACTTGCGCCATGCTTTCGTGGCGCACGCAGATGTCGTACATGCGTGCCAGCAGCATGAGATTGCCGCCGAATTGCGTCCGCGGCATGCGGCGCAGTAGGTGGCGACAATACGCCGGAAAAGACATGCCACGGGGGCGCTGACCAGAAAAGCCGTACGGAAAGGACTGGGGGAAGCAGAGGGTGAGGATGGCAGGATGACGGTCATCCAGCACGTGGCTGTCACGGCCACCAGCCGCAAACGCAAGCCGTGCGCGGCCAGTCAGAAGGTCTTCCACTCGGTCCAGGAATCGGTCGATTTCACTGCCATCATCGCCAACATTAGACGGCTGCGGCAGGATCAGCTCCAACTCGTCCAGAGTGGCAGCTGCCGGATCGGCTGCATGATCACACAACAGATGCACAAGAGCCAGGTCAGGATGCACAAGCTGGCAGGGCACGCGATGTGTTAGCATGGTGCATAAACGGTGGTACATGCGGCACACGGCGTGTGCCGGGAAGGAATGAAATCGAAGCGCCTCAAAAACACCACAAACGAGTGAAGACACGTTCAGCCTGTGCTCAGCCAAGCGAGAGAACGCACGCACCTGGCGCACCTTCAACTGGCTGGTCAGCAGGTCCTCGTACAATGGTGGTGAATGGCCCCGGCCCAGGGTCCTGTGCTGCACTCAAGAACACACACGGAGGAGTAGTAGAATACATCACTAGCGGGGCAGGCGAGGGTGCTACAGGACTCCAGCTTATTCAGCGGGACAGGCTGTGCAGCAAGATCCGTTAGCACATCAGGCTAACGGGGCAGTGGCAATAGCAGCTGTCCGGTACAGAAAGCGCAGTACGAGGGCAACACGAAAACGGAGGGTACACAAGAGCTCACATGAAACACAGTAACAAAGTAACACACCTGCAGTCGGGGTCGGATCCGCCAGTGTAAGCTGCACAGGTCCAGCAGTATCCGCGTCAGGTGCCGTAGCTGCATCGGCAAGATTACCATCACGAACAGCCGCTTCCACCACGTCCTGGAACTGCCGCACACCTGCCGCACCAGTGCGGTCGTGCAGGAAGGTGGTGCGGAGAACGTTCGCCACCTCCGGATCCGTCGGTGCAAGGGCGGCATGCAAGATTTCGTCCGGCACGCCTGCAGCACAGCCCATGCACTCGTACTCTTGCAAAGCATCCTCATCAATAGCCAGCTCCTCCTCTTCGTTGTGCTGCAAGAAACGGACCCAGGCGACGATAACCTGCCCTCGCACCTGTAGACCTGGTGCCTTTCGCACGCGCTCCAGCAGCTCCGCCCGGCTGTGAACCTGGTCAACACACACAACTGTGATAGCGCCGGCCAGGTCGGATGCCCGCGCTGGCAGCTGCCCTCGCAGCAGATTCGGGTCGGGATTCACAACCCCAATGCCGTGGGTCTTTACAGCACGGGGGAAGACATCTGGCGGCCGGTCTGCGAGGTACATGATAAGCAGCTGCTGGATGATGCGACCACGACCCAGAAGCTGCCCCTCCAAAAAGGTGGGCGACGGCAGAGGGTCGCCCAGATGATTGACGCGCGGCACATCGCCAGGGTCCAGGCGCGCCAGCGCAGCTTCAGGGACTCGCCGGGCTGTAGTAGAGGAGCAAACACGGGCAAGCAGAGCCGATACGACTAAGAAAGCAGTAGGAACGTATGCAGCAAAGGTAGGAGAGACAAGTACATGCCGCAGATGAAGGGAGCAAGGAAACACAGGCAGAAGTCATAGCTCATAGGCACTAGGCAACCGGCTTGCGAGCACGAAGCAACCGACTCACCGCTAAGGGCTTTGTGGCAGACGTTGCATACGAATATGCGCTCTGCAGCACCATCGCCAACCAGCATAGTGCGGTTGGGCAGGTCCGACTCCAGACGCATGCAATAGGGCACCTCAACACTAGCGGGGTCGTCCAGGCAGGCTCTGGGCAGCACCCGCGGGGGGCGCAGCTGTTGATCCGGTGGAAGCTGCTGGGGCTCGAGCTCGGGCTCGGGCTGCTGCCCAGCCGTCATCAAATCCGGATCGCCAGTCTCCTGAGCACCAGCATCCACCTCCAATGCTGCTTCCGCTGCATCATCCACCAGCCTGCCTGCTCCACTAGCACTGTCGCCGTCCTCATCCACAGCACCAGTTCGCTCAGCCCGGCTAACATGATACCGAGCAGGCAGGACTGGGTCAGGCGGCGGTGGTGCGTCTCCCTGAGCTGTACACGCCATCCGCCGCCACACCAAAGTATGCCCCCAGCGCTGCACAGCGTCCGTACACATGACGTCGGCACGTAAAATGTCAACGTTGGGAATCTCCGTCCAGTGCAGCACCGTCGACTGGTCCTCCGAGCACACTTCAGAGCACACAGCACAGACACGGGAGGGCATGCGCCGGCGCAAGGCAGCAGCCATCGTCGATGCACACTGCAGCTGCACGGTGTACGGTACCTGCCTGTCAGGCGGTAACTGACCGCCAGGAAGGTCCTGCACGCGGCCCTCTGGAAGCACCAAAAGAAACTCGGGCAAATCAATGGCGTCACCACGATGAAGGTCCGCGAATCGCAGAAGACGGTGCATGCGAGCCAACAGTGTATCCCTAGGGGCGGCCTGCTGATTTTGCTGCTGCACCTGCCGTGCAGCCGCATGCTGGGCCGTATTCCGCTGCTGCTGGAGCGCCCTCACCTCCGGGTCAGCACGTGCAGCTGCATGCTGTGCAGCGTCATGCAGCCGCTGCTGGGCCCTCACCTCCGGGTCAGCACGTGCAGCTGCATGCTGTGCAGCGTTATGCAGCCGCTGCTGGGCCCTCACCTCCGGGTCAGCACTGGCAGCTACATGCCGTGCTGTGTTCCGCTGCTGCTGCTGTGCCCTCACCTCCGGGTCAGCACGGGCAGCTACATGCCGTGCTGTGTTCCGCTGCTGCTGCTGTGCCCTCACCTCCGGGTCAGCACGGGCAGCTGCATGCTGTGCAGTATCACGCACCTGCTGCCGCGCCCTCACCTCCGGGTCAGCACGTGCAGCTGCGTGTCGTGCAGTGTTACGCACCTGCTGCTGCACCCTCACCTCCAGATCACCATGTGCAGCGGCATGTTGTGCGGTGTTAAGCATCTGCTGCCGTGCCCTCACCTCCGGGGCAGCATGTGCAGCCGCATGCCGTGCAGCGTCCTGCTGCCGCTGCAGCTGTCGTAACTCAGGAAGAGCTGCCGCACGCTGCACAGCTTTCTGGCGCCGCCATCTCTCGCGTACATCCGCAGCAGAAGGGTCAGCATCCTCGTGGTGCCCCTCCAGCTGCGTATCTGCAGCAGCTGCCGTCTGCTGGCGAACCTCTGCCGGCCCCGTTGGATCAATTCGTACGGCCGTCCGCTGTTGTGCAGCATGCTGCTGCTGCGCAGACGATGCGGCATGTTGCTGCTGCTGCTCAGACGAAAGACTCGCACTCAAATCAACGAACGGCCGTGTTCTTCCACCACGGAAGCCGTCCGCAAGCGAGCCAAGCCGAAGCCGTTTCGAACCAGGCAACTGATCCGACATGAAAGCGGACCCGACAAAGTGAAAACGTATATTCAGCTGTTAAGCTGTGGTAGGTCGTAAACGACGAAAACCGCGCAAGAAGCGAAAAGAATGAGAGAAAACCTGGAAAGTACGCAAGCGTAGTGACAAGAAGAGTTGCAAGGATCAGAACCGAAGAACGGCGCTGCATGAAACGTGTACGGCATTCACTCCGGCGCGGAATCCAAGCAGGAATCGAGCCACAGCGCGCGGTGAATTGCAGGTCAAATCGTGCGTCGAATTACGCAATTACGAAGTAGGAAATACGAATTACGCAAAAAAAACTTTGTGATCGCATGAAGAGAAAAAAAAAGAAAAAAAAATTGCGCGAATATCGCAGTGAGGGTGGAACCGACGACTTGGTGGACAGACGGAGGGACAGACGGACGGACAGACAGACGGACGCCGGATTGGCCTAAGGCCTCCGCTTTCTTACTTCGTAGGAGCTACGGCGACGGTCGGCGAATCGGCCCAAGGCCTCCGCTTTCCTACTTCGTAGGAGCTATGGTGACGGACGGCGAATCGGCCTAAGGCCTCCGCTTACCCACTACGTGGGAGCTACAGTGATACGATGCGTACGGCGTGTATGTCATAGCGTGTACACTGTGCAGTGTCATGCAGCCGCTGCTGTGCCGTCACCTGCGGGTCGGCACGTGTAGCTGCGTGCTGTGCAGTGTTACGCAACCGGCGGAAGAAAATTAAGCTTGTGGAGCCTAGCACGCAAATTTAGCCTGTCGGCCAGTGTGAAGTGCTCGCGCGGGAATCGAACCCGCAGGGGGCTCCACACATTGGTGGGCGGGTCCCCATTCCTTCCCGTAGGGAGCGAGCATGTCGTCCGGTGTGTTCCCCGGACGCTGTCATTTAACGCCGTACAGTGGCGGGTCGCAGCTTCACTCTCAAGTAGCCCTGGGATGGTTACAGTGGCGGGTCGCAGCTTCACTCTCAACTAGCCCTGGGATGGGCAGGTCCAGCACGCTTCCAGCTGTCGTGCATGCTCGAACTCGGTGGTATATCGCTGCTCCGTCTCGTGTGCTGCCTGCTTCAGCAGCCGCAGGTTGGTGGCCAGGTCCGGCTCGAGGTTAGTTGCGCTGAGGAATTGTCTGATTACCTTCTTGCGCTCGTGTGGCGTGGTATAAAGCGGCCGTAGCAGACGGACGTGGTCCAGCGTCTTAAAGCGGGTCAGCAGCACATACAGGGTGGCGCGCTTGATGCCGTTGGGTGGGACAGCGAGATCCACCAGCCAACACTCATCTTTGAAGCTTCGGCCTTGCACGAAGTAATCAGTGACCGCCTGGCGGTCGCCGAGTGGTACATTGAGGCGCCGGATCTGCTTTGTGATGGTGCCACATCCGGGGGCGGGCATCTCCACCTCGGCAATGCAAGACGCTCGGGGTGACAGGATGAAGGCGCCACCCCTGCTGGCGTAGTCTCCAAGGCCCTGCAGCACGGTGTCGGGGATGTGGCCGCTCATAGGCCGCACAATGACGGCGGCTGGAAGGTACTTGAGCCGGCGGTAGGGGCCACGGCCGTCATCTGCTGGTTCGCGGCCGTCTTCAAGCAGGCCGCAGGCTTCCACCTCGTTGTTGTGGCTTGCCCCGGCATCGGCAGCTGTCGTATCAAGGAGGATGTATCGGGCGCCATGGTAGTACCATGTGTCGGCGGTGGTGTGGCCAAAGTCGTAATCCTTGATTCACATCGCAACTGCTTTCTCCACGTGTGTCAGGGCCGGCTCCACAGCGGCGCCACGCTTCTGGACAGGGACGTGGTCTGCATTCCACACCACAAGGCGCTGGTTCTTGCGTTGTGCCTCCAGCATGATGAGGCGGGTGTTGAGTACGTGGTGTGGTTCGTTCCTCTGCAGCACGATGCGCGGCTCGAGGTGCGCTAGGTTGGCCAAGTCGACGATGGCGTGGCTGTTGAGATCGTCGACCATCTCGGCTATGCACTGCTCGGTGGCTGGCTCACCGCCAAACATAGAGGCGTATTCTGTCAGGCGACGACCAGAGGGACTGCTGTCCTGGCGCTGCTGTTTCTCCAGCAAGAAGACCGTCTTAGCAAGGGATCGGTAAACCCGGAAGCCCTCTAGTATGCAGCTCTGAGCCTGTGAGACGGCCCGGGGCCGACGTGCTGTTACGTCGGGTTGCTGCTGATCGCCTTGAGATCCAGCGGCGGCCTCGTTAGGGTCGCCATCGTTGTCCTCCTCTCCGTGCAGAGGTTGCACGGTCGGGACGGAGGGCAAAAACTGGGGGTTGCATTCCACAGCAGCGGCGTACCGGTAGAGGGGTGGCCCACCTGGCTTGGGGTGCTGGAACTCGTCGCCTGTGTTGGCGCTGGGGCGGCTGCTGAAGATGGTGGCGGTGGGGTGGTTGTGGGCGAGATGCCCTACCAAAATGGAAGCGTGCTAAAGAATGTTCCTGAGAACGCTAAGAATGCTAAGAACGGCTTGAGAATGCTGGCGCTGCTGAGAACGTTCTTATGCCAGTCTCAAGCATTCTTATGACGGTTTTACGAAAGAATGGCTTTGAGAATGCAACGGTGCGGAAAACTTAGCAGAAACACGCACAAGTTACAGTGGTTTGCCCCTGTGCACAACATTCATTCGGTTATCCATCAGTCGTACCATCAGCTGTACCTTCATTGAGAAGCCCCGCCCACCCTAAGGCACTGATTGGGTCGGTAACCCATGGGTTACCCATCGGTTACCCACCTTCAACCCCAAATTTTAGTAGAAGATTTAGAACTATGTATGTATTCAGTTTTAGCGTTTGTTCCCGCTTTGAGGGCATGAAACTCCCGAATAAGATTATTCATTCGCATTCATACAGTTCGAAGTGGATTGGGGAACGCAATTTAGCTTGAAATCCATTGTGTCTCTGGCTAGTTCTGAAAAGAAATCAATCGTGGATTAACAAGTTTCCCTTTCCCTTCTTCGCCGGTCAATCGCAGACGCCTCTGCGCCAGGCTCTGCCAGCTGCAGGCTTGTGGCAAACGGCCGCTGAGGGGCGGCTGGACAGCCGGCGGGCCGGGATGGGGTTGGTTCGGTCGAGTCTTTTAGCCTAGTAGTGTGGCCTTGAGAGCTCAGAAGGGATAGTGCTTGGTGTAGGGGGAAACTAGTCAGCTTAACCTGCAGGGATTTTCCCGGGTTCAGGAGGTAGCTACCTCTATAGATGTCGCCACATGAGAGTCTGAGAGTCGTTCGAAGTTCTTTGGATAGGTTTATGCGTCATGCGCGTGTTGCCCCGCTGAGGGCAATGGTGGGCAGCACGAGGGGGGTATAGTGGCCGTGGGCCTGGGGTTGTGTTTTTCTGCAGTGTAAGGACCCTTAGCAACTTGTTTCTGCCTTCCCATATCAACCATCCAGGAGAACAGAAATGAAGAGGCCACGCGTACGTTGGTAATTTCATTTATCCCAGAATCCCAGCCCAAAATAACTGTCATAGCTTAGATTTGAATTCAGGTTCGAACCTGAGTGGAATCCGGAAGAGTTCATTCTCTATGGTATCACTTCAGTAAAAATAACTACAGCGGTTGAGGCAAGCCTGGCCACGTTAAGACAGCTATACACCTGACAAGGACCCATTCACGAAATCCTGCAGCTGACTAGCATCTTAAGCTATGAATACGAACGACAAGTAAGGGAGCCTAAGGCTCTATGTATCCGAAGGATGATGTAGCTATTGTTTGG